GGATCACCTGAAGTCAGGAGTTCGACACCAGCCTGGCCAACACGGTGAAATCCCGTCTCTACTAAAGCACAACAATTAGCCGGGCATGGTGGCGCGCGCCTGTAATCCCAACTACTCGGGAGGCTGAGGCAGGAGAATTGCTTGAACCCAGGAGGCAAAGGCTGCAGTGAGCCAAGATCGTGCCACTACACTCCAGCCTGGGCCACAGAGCGAGACTCCATCTCAAAAACAAACAAACAAACAAACAAACAAACAAAAATGTTAAGCATCCAACTGAAGGAAGTCTAAAACTGACAATAGGAATATACTAAGATAGTAGAAGGATGAAGATAAAGGTAAAACATAAATAAATGAAAAACAAAACAAAATTAGAACCAAAAATACCTAACACTAAATTAGAACTAAAAACAGAACTAACATATATAAATTTGATTTATTGAAAAAATTAATAAAATGGTCACAAGATCTCTGAAGGGAAAGACCGGCAACAGGCACAAAACCCTACTGAGAAATGAGAGGAGGGCTGCTCTACAATGCAGCCGAGGGCGACATGAGCAACCTCCTAGCAAGGCAACTTGGAAAATTACACAAAATGGACCATTTCTAGAAAACTATTATTCGCTAAGTTTGATTCATAGAGAAACAGAAAGCCCGAAGAGTCCTATAATCCTAAAAGAAATTAGGAAGTTAAAATCTTCCCACAAAGATGTCAAAAATCTAAGACAGTTTTACATGTTCTGCCAAAATTAAAAATCATATTTTATCCCATTTTTACAAACTTCAAAATGTAGGGAAAAGTGGGCACGTGACCCAGTTCCCTGTAGGACTCTCTCATAATCTAACACAAAGACAGGACTAGTGTGTACCGAGGAAGAAAAGGCACACTGTTGGGCACAGATGAAAAATCCTGCACAAAATATTGCCCTATCCAATCTCAGAATGTGGAAAAAGTACCGTTGGCCACTGCAGCCCCAACACACCGTCAAACATCCATGTGTAACTTTTGACTCCCACCAAACTGGATGACTAATAGCCGACTGTTGACCGGAAGCCTTGCAGATAACATAAACATTCGATTAACACATATTTTATACGTTATCTGTATTATATGCTGTATTCTTATGATAAAGTAAGCTAGAAGAAAGAAAATATTAAGAAAATCATAAGAAAGAGAAAATATATTTACACGTCATCAAGTGGAAGTGGATCATCCTAAAACTCTCCATTCTCATTGCGTTCACAATGGGTAGGCTGAAGAGGAGGAGGATGAGGAGGGCTTGGTCTTGCTATGTTAGGAAAGGCAGAGGCAGAAAAAAGTTTGCATGTAAGTGGACCCATGCAAGTCAAACCTGTGTTGTCCAAGGATCAAACTGTGTATGATATTTTGGTTCAATTGGGATTATGCCAGGAATCCAAGGTTAATTTAATTTTAGAAAATTTCTAAGTTACTCCATTCACATATTAAAGGAGAAAAACCATATTGTCATCTCAATAGTTCCAACAGCACATGGTGCTTTTTTTTTTTTTTTTTTTTTGAGACAGAGTCTGGCTCTGTCGCCGGGGCTGGAGTACAGTGGCCGGATCTCAGCTCACTGCAAGCTCCGCCTCCCGGGTTCACGCCATTCTCCTGCCTCAGCCTCCCGAGTAGCTGGGACTACAGGCGCCCGCCGCCTCGCCCGGCTAGTTTTTTGTATTTTTTTAGTAGAGACGGGGTTTCACCGTGTTAGCCAGGAGGGTCTCGATCTCCTGACCTCGTGATCCGCCCGTCTCGGCCTCCCAAAGTGCTGGGATTACAGGCGTGAGCCACCGCGCCCGGCCAGCACATGGTGGTTCTAAAGAAGGGAGAGACTTGCTTATCAGGCCCCACACCTCAGAACAAAAACATGAGAATGAATATAGAACAGCACAGCACAGAGATAAACGGATGGATGGAATGGGAAAGAGAACCGGGACAAAGACCCGCACACGTGGCGACTTGAGTTCGTCAGAGCTGTCCCGACACATCCGTTGGAGGAAGAGGGAATAGTCCTAAATACCCACAAGGAAGAGAAGTGAAATAGATCCCTGCTTCCAGTCTTTCAAAACAGTCGGTTCAGGTGTATACAACACCTCAATGTGAAAAAAAATGGGGGCCATTAGAGCAGAGTATTTGACTTTACACCCTTAGACAATAGCAAAAGAAAAAAAGTGCTTGTAAAAAAATCTTAAATTTCTCTTACTAGTATTATTGGCTATAGAGATACTGAAATTGTTATTTTGAAAACATGTTAAATACAGGGTAAGCTAAAGCTAGTAATTACATTAAAGTCGTTAGGAGCCAAAATTTTCCATATAAGAGAAATGAAATACAAGTACAAAACCAAAGAAATTAAGAAAAACTCTTTTTTTTTTTTTTTTT